ATATTTGAATACTTAGCTTACAGTAATATTTTATTATTTCCCTTGTTTCATATCCTCATTTCCCTCACCCAACTCAGTTCATCCAGTTTTTGCAAGTATAATGCTACCATTCTCCCAAACATAGTGAAAGCTAAGCGTTCTTGGAGCACTTCACCTTTCTCACCCTTTAAGTTACTGTATGTATCAATTCATCCATCAGCATGTCTATTCTTTTCCTTTCCATTTCAACTGTTCTGGGTTGAGTCTCATATCTCTTACCAGAAAAAGTACAAAAATTTGATTGTTCTTACTTCTATTCAACTAACCCTAAAAGTAATCTTCATACCATATTTGATAAATCTTCTCACATCAGCTTTATTTTATCTCTTCCCTAATCAAACATTAATAACTTAGTGAATTTCAAATTTCTCAGTTTGGGATACAGTATAGTTGCTCCAAATTTGGTTTTCAGGCTAGACTAGCTGGCATGCAACTCCTATCAACACTAGAACACAGTATTTATTCACGTGAGAATTCTCATTTCATTACTACAGAAAAGGGGCGATATTAGTCCTCTCTTAAAAGGGGAAAATATCAATGTAGTATTTTACAACAAAACACTTAAATGGGAAAACCCTCCACAAAACCAAAGCAAACAGAATATAACAATACATTTAAAGAATCATGCATCATTATCAAATGGGATTTATTCAGGGATGAAAGGATGACCCAACAAAAGCAAATCAATGTGTTTCACCTTAACAAACAAGCAAAAAAAAAATCATTTGATCATATTAGTGGATGAAGAGATGGTTTTTCATGACATGCAACTTCTATTTATGATAAAAACTCTTAGCAAAATAGGATTAAAAGAAACATTTGATGAAAAAATAGTGAAGGCAAGGGTAAATAAATGGGGCTACATCAAGTTAGAGCTTCTGTACAGCAAAAGAGACATTACAAAAAACAGACAGCCCACTGATTGGGAAAAATTTTTCTCACACAAAACTAGTGACAAAAGATTGATCAAAGATATACAAAGAAATTATGAAATGCAACAAAAATAAGCAACCCTATCAAAAAATGGGCAGAAGAGCTAAAAAGACACTTCTCCAAAGAGGAAATGCAGATGTCCAACAAGCATAGGAAAAAATGTTCAATATCACTTGTAATAAGCGAGATGCAAATTAAAACCACAATGAGATACCACCTCACCCCAGTGAGAATGGCACATCTTCAAACAACTAGCAACAACAAATTTTGGTGAGGATGTGGAGAAAAGGAACTATCCTGCACTGCTGGTGGGAATGCAAACGAGTACAACCACTATGGAAAATTGTTTGGAGGTTCCTCAAACTGCTAATCATGGAGCTTCCCTTTGACCCAGTAATCCTACTCCTAAGTTATCTGCCCAAAAGATACAGAAACACTGACTCAAAAAGATACCTGCACCCCCATGTTTATTGCTGCTTTATTTACAATTGGAAAGACATGGAACCAACTCAAATGCCCAAAAGTAGATGAATGGATTAAAAAGATGTGGTACATATACACAATGGAATATTACTCAGTAACCAAAACAATAAACATGTCATTTGCAGCAACATGGATGGAGCTGGAAAAATACCAGATGATTTCACTCATAGCAAGAGTATAATGGACCAGGGGAGAAAATAACAATAATAATGAACATCTATATACCGGAGACATTTTATGGGGATGGAGTGAGGATTGGGATCAAAAATAGTGAGGGGAGGGAGATGCACTGGACTATGGTGATGACACATGGGTGATTTGGTGAGGGGAAACCACAGGGATTACAACTGAGATGGAAAAATGCACAAAATGATGTAAAAATAAACTATTGTATTTTTATTAAAAAAGAAAATACTTGAACACAAAAAGGGCTTAGATGCTAAATACACAAGTAGCATCAATTCAATGATTAAAGAAAAAAGGAAAACTACTCCTCTAGACCAAATACACAAGAAGGATGTCTGTGCTCCCAGCTTTTGGTCAACATATATTATCAGAGGCCTTAATTAGGTAAAAAAAGATATCAAAGGATAATCCAATAAAGAACAAAAAAGTAACTATCACTATTTGAAAATGTCATGATAATATGCATTCAATATCTCAAGATAGCACTAAAAAAACTATCATAAACAGGGGGAAAAAGATCAGTAAAGTAGCAAGCTCTTACATTCAAATAATGACCTAAAAGAGAAAGAAAATTTTAAAAATCCCATTTTAGGCACCATCAAAAGTACTAAATACCCAGGTATTAACAAGTGAGATGAAAGACCTATTCAATAAAAATATAAAGCATTGCAGGCCCTCCCTGGTTGCGCAGTGGGTTAAAGCACAACACTGAGAAGTTAAAGCCATTTCAGCATGAGTTCCATCCCCTCCCCGGGGGTCATCTACATGGCGAAGCAGACCTCTCCTGACCCGCCCACTGCTCCCCTCAGCAGTGTATTTCATCAATCGGCCTGTTCTGCTCCCCACTCTGCTTCTGGTGAGTCCTCTCACCACCCCTGCATCTCTGGCCTGTACCTCAGCTCTGTATGCATAAACAAATAAATCTTTAAAAGTGCAACCATGTAATAATTTATGTGGAACCACAAAAGACCCCAAATGACCAAAGTAATTCTGTCAAAAAAAGGAATGGAGGTATTATGTTCCCAGAATTTAAACTATACTAAATGCTATAACCAAAATAGTATGGTGTTAGAATAAAAACAGACATATAGGCAATGATAGGATAGACAATCCAGAAACAAACCTACTTTTGCATGAACAGATTATGACCAAAGAATCTGTATTTTTCAAAACTATAACTCTTAGTAAAAGGCAGCATATTTTGGCAGTTCCAGGAAACCTAGATTAAGATTAGATAGCTAGTGAGACAAGTTGCTTTTTGTTTTTCAATTTTTACTCCCTAATCACAGAAATTTCTCAGCAGCACATGACTTAGGTAAGTTTCTACAAGTCTTCCTCACTCTAAATTCATGGTCTAGTTAAACGATAAAGATACATTTTACCCAAGTACATATACTAGCACTTAAAGAAAATTCAGAGATAGGGAAAATTGTTCTTTTCTCCGAAATCACAAAATGGCATGCAACATTTCTATATATACTTGCTCTCTTTCCACATTCATTTATTGGTATTCACCCAGCATTTACTACAAGTGATTTTTTAGGTATTGGTGATGACAACAGTGACTAAATATGCGAATGATGATATATAAATGAAAATGTTTTTAAAAGAAAACAAATAGGGCAGCTCTTTGAAGATGAGAAAATACTGCATACATCTCTTTTGTTACATCATCATGATAACAAGAGAATCTGGATAATTCTTGTGGACCATAATAAACTACTGCTTTTTCTCTCCTCACAAGAGAAAATATGTCTTAGTGGACAAAGTTTCAATATACTTTTCATTGCAAAGTTTCTTCCTTAAATATATATTCAACATTCTGTTAATTACAATTTAAAATTTGCCAGGCTTCATTCAGTCATAACTACAGAAGGAACACTACAATTTATTTTTGTCTTTCCAGTAAACCAGTCAATTCATGCTACACAATGTTCTATTTCAACTTCTATATTCTCCATTAATAAATCTCAAGCTTCACATCCACAACCAGTCATGGACCAGAACAAAAGATTTAACAAAGCTTCGGCATGGTATTGAGTAAACTGATGCATTTCCACACTATACACATTTAATGAGATTTACTCCCAACAGAGTGTTTACTACAATTTATTTCATAGTATTATATTTTCAGAAGCAAGATAAAGTAAAGGTTGTTTTGGATCCTTTACCAATACAGCACTATGAAATTTTTTAAAAATGCAAACATTTAATTTACAAAATCATTTATAAGGCTAAATGCTCAATAAACCCTACTTTATCTCATTCAGACAGTCTCAGTAGTTATTTGAAGCACTGCTATTTTTAAAATATATAAAATCCATGCATTTTTACTAGTTCAGGAATCCCTAGCCTTGACTGGAACTGAATTATTATTAATACGGCATTAGGATTTAAGAAAATGTTTTTGTCTGGAAATGAGTTTACCACATATCTTGAAACTGAAAACTACTTAACTATGCCTATACCAACTCTGATCAAAGCTGAACACACACACACACACACATGCACGCACGCACACACGCACACACACACACACACACACGCTCCTTTACTCCAAACACTGCCATTTCTTGCTTGTATCAGTCACCAACTAAAATGGCAAATCCCAGAGGAGAAACAATTTGGGAATCTTCTGTAGTTCTTTTAAGAAGCAAGTTTCAGAGAGTCACCCCTCTGGTTTAAAACAGATCAATTGACCCCTTTCAATTGGAATACAAATCAGAATTCTTAAAGGCCTTTACAGTCCTCCATAACCCCGGGCGCACTGGGTCTCAGACCTGAGTTCCAGCTGCTCATCCCTTTTCACTTTGCACTGAAGCATTCTGTTGTCTGTTCTGTCACTTTAACTCAGGACTCACCTGCCCATCTCTTTTCTAGATCAGCACCTATCCAGTTCTGTAGCTTCCTTCAAGCCTCTGATAAGTCTCAATGTAACATCCTTTACTTATCTACAATGTTTACTGTGATTGATTTTTGTAAATTCCACAGCTAGAATGTAAAATTCACAAAAGCAGTGACTGATTATATCCCAAGGACAAAGAATACTGCCTTAGTAAGTAGTTCAGGAATGAATGAATACAATATTTCTTAAATTGATCTGTGTAAAATAAAGTCATAATTTCTACCTAACTAGCGATCCCAATGTAAATGCATTTCTTTTCTTGGCAAAGATGTAAAGGAATTAGAATTCTACCAACAGAATACCATCTGCTAATCAAACAGTGGAAGACACAGGTGATAATGAAGAATGACCATTTTCACTCACTCATACTCTAAATTCTAAAACATGAACCTGAAAATCCATACTTTTTCCATATCAGGAGAGCAAATCACATCTTATTTTCTTCTCTACTTACCTCAAGCTCATCAAGGGCACTTCCGAGGGTTGCAGCCTGAGGTTCTGGAGGGGTGACTAAATTCTGGATGCCTTGTGAAGCATTTGAAATTACATTGAGGGCATTCTGAATTTCTTCACAAACTGTATCCTTGCTAGCTTTGAGAGAAGCAACATCAGAATGTTCCAAACAAGCTGAACAAATTGAATGCAAGAGAGGGGAGTTTTCCTTCAGTGAGGCCCGGGCTCCTGCGATTTCATCCCTCTGATTTGGAGATTTTAAGTCCTATGGAGGGAGATAAAGAGTAGTTGTTAATATAAGTTAATATAAGAGACTAATGCAATGAAGCTCCATATTTTTCATGATATAAATGAAAAGATAGTAGACACTAGTAAATCAGCTATAAATTAAAACCAAGAGAATCAATTATTTCTACACTCCTTCAGAATCAGTTAAAAGTTCCACAATAGAAAAGGTGAGCCAATTAGCAAATAAAGGTCGCACTGATGCAGATGTTCAATAACTGAGTAGATTTTACATTTGACATTCATAACAAAATACTCTGGCATTCACTTTATTAAGTATATTATAAGAGCGCTTGAACTTACAAGGATGCTATTTACCTATTTCCACAGATGCTGATGATTGCATTTAACCTTTTCATTAACACTAAACCACAAGTTAATGACACTAAATTGTACCACCTACCATTCAGCGATTTCCCACACTCTCTCATAAATACTAATAAATTAATCCTGGATCTTTCTTTCTTTGACATTTTTCAACAGTCATTGAGAATTTAGCATATGCTGGACCTTGTGTTAGATGCTGAGTATACAGAGGTGAACAGTACTACAAACACCTTGTTCTCTTAGAGCTTATGTTCATGTTTGAGGGGAAGGGGGGCTATAGACAAACAAGCATATTAAACAAATACACAGGCAATTTCAAAGAAATCCTCTGAAGAAATGAAATGTCATAAAGATTGGCTTGAGCAGGAAAATCTGCCTTAGCTTGAGTAGTCAGAGGACAGTAGTCTGCAGAGATGACATTTAGAATAAACATAAATGAAAAATATTCCAAACAATGAGAAGATGAGAATCATAAATACTCTGTAACTGATACTCAATCAAAGCTATCACAACCTGTGGCAAAAAACCCTGGCCAACACAATCTTGACCAACTGATGAAGTTAACATCATAACACAGGGTAACACATGCCCCTTGATATAGTATGAAAGGAACACTTCACTATGTGATATTCTTTATAAAAACTAACAAACCCAATCTAAAATTAGAAAAATAAAACCAGAATGGGGGACATGTTTTCTGGGCAGTATTTCTCAAGACAGTAAAGGTCACAAAACATAAGAAGGTTGATAAGAAATCAAAGGAGAATGTGAGGTGACAACTTAATGCAAAGTAGCTACTGGATAAGATCTTGGAACAGAATTCCTGGTGAAATCAAAAGAAAATCTGGAGTCTAGCTAGTAAAAATACATCAATGTTCATTGTGGCAAATATAAGATATTAACAGTCAAAGAAACCAGATGAAGGCGCTATGAAATGCTACTATCTTTGCAACTTTTTCATAGAAAATTAAAATTAATTCTAAAATTATCAATGTAAGTAAAAAGTTCATTTTAAAGGAGACCAATGCATTTATTATGCATCCCACAGATATCTCATGTAAGTCTTATAAAAATTCATGATATAGATGATTGTCCAATTTAAAGATTAGAAAACTGAAGTTAGAAAGACAAAAATACCTTAAACAAGTGGCAGATCCAGACAGTGGCATTTGCTATATTGTAACCAACGGTGTAACTGTTAAACCATGGAGTCTAAAAACTATTATATGCTTTTACTTCATAGGAAATACTTCCCTTATTTGCTATACGAGGATGAGAACTTGTATTTTTATGACTTAAAGATCATAAAGCACTTCTCTAAAATATCTTACTGATCATCACAATACCTTTTTAATAAGCAGTAAGGTTGTTACTAGCCCTTTTTACCTTTTAACTAAATAGATATTTAGCATAAAGAGATTAAGAGACTGATAAAGGGACTAAGATGTAAACTTAAGCTTTCTGAATGCAAATCCCATGCTTTTTCACAAAACTGCTACCTCCAGATAATGTTGCCTGTTGTTAATAAATGGCTGCATGACTGTATTTTTAGTTCCTTCCTTTCCAGAAATAAAGACTGCCTGCTACTCCATGCAGGCTTCAAGGAGGATTAACTTCTTTACAAAATGTAGGGAGGACAGAAGTAGCTGTCAACCCATTGTTCATACTCACTAATTACCCAAGAAAAAACACTCTGTGGTTTTCTTGGCTTGTTATGATTTCCCCTGATATTCCTGGTCTGGATTCTAGTTTCAGCAAAGTTATTATCACTATGAACTGGGTAAGTTGTCTGCTCTTTCAATGTCTGTTTTTCCATCTGCTGAAATGGAGATAATGATATACTGCCAAATCTCATAAAATTAAGTAGCACATCAGAAATGGAATAAACCTGAAAATAGAAAATGAGAGAACGTATGCAAAAATATTTTATTCCTTAAATTTGTCAAACTTGGTGTGCTGTTTTTGTCCTGTGGTGGTCTTAATGATTTTCATAACCCCCACAATTTTATAGTACTACATTTTTCTCAGTGTGACTTAGACAATAAATTTATTGTTTCAAAAATATGCACAACTCCTCAGAAGAATGACAATAAGAAGTATAAGTATAAAGAAAGAGCTTAAGAAATTTTTCTGTATGCTAATGCATAATCAACACATTAATTAATTCCCTCTGAAATAAACTAAGTATTATACTTCTCTACTTAGAATAGCAGGATCAATGTTCACATACTTTCTGAAAAGTAAAGGCTGAACATATATGATTATGAGGAAGACTAAACTTAAAAACACTTCTTTTACTGTAGCTCTGTCTAAATATATCTGACTGTAAATTGTGGTGACTTTAGTGGGATAGAGACTTTGGAATTGTAACTTTCAAATATATTTTGGTTCTTAAGCCTATGCTTTTTTATCTCTGCCAAGACCATTAAAGAATACTTAATAAGCATTGATACCTCAAATAGCAAACCAAAAAAGCCTGCGAGACAAGACAGGTTCAGTAAGCAGAACAAAAACACTAGGTAGGGTAACTCACAAAGAGAAGATTTGGGGTAGTGGGAAATTGAAAAGGCAACGTCATTTCTCCTAAAGTACATTTCAAAGGATATAGATCTTTTTATAAGTAACAATTAATATATAAGAATGGGCACAGAAATAAAAGGGAGACTAATGAACTCCATCCTTCTGAACAAAAGGTTATGGTGATTTTTGTATTTGTTTTATTTTGTTTTAGCCAATGATATCATGGGTTTGAAGGGCCATAGTTTATCTATTTATCTGAAAATTTTAAGCACAGTCCAATAAGTGTTAAATAAATAGTAAGGTCAATTAGTGATTTTGCTGGAAGAAGAGATAACGATCCCCTTCCTTCAGGACTCATTTAGTATCTTTCTTAAAATGCTCACGATAAAATGCTCACATGTAATTTCCAATTTAAGGAGACATAAATGTTTCCAGCTGATGAAGAAACACACAGATGGGATTTTAAAAGACCTTAGAAGACTGTGAAAGTGGGTAGAGAAGCAACATATGAGTCTTAGCCCTGGCAAGAGAACAAAACATATTTAAGAATTTTAAAGATCACAGAGTATAAAAATGGAGGGCTGTAAGTTATCATTTAATTCATACAACAATATTGGTGAGCCATTACTATATATACATCAGGCAGTGTGCTAAATGTTAAGAAAACCAAGATAGACAACTTATAGATCAGTAGTCAGGGAAACCAATTTATATGGAGACAACTTATAGATCAGTAGTCAGGGAAACCAATTTATATGGGAGCTGGTCATATCACAGAGGAAAATCCCTCGGTTTGAGGGGATTAAAGAAAATTTATCAGAGGATGTAAATCTTAAACAATGGGTTTAAGTTAAACCTGTGAATAATGCAAAAGAAAATAGCAAGAAAACACATGTTTGGGGTCTAAGAGAACAAGGGGCAAGCATGCTATTGTAAGTGGCTCTATACAAATGCAGAAAATAGAGCAGAAATGGTGATGAATCCAGCCAGAAAAGGAAGCAGGTGCCTCTACCATGCTAAAGAACTGTATGAGCAATAAGCTCATGCCATGTGTATTTTCAAAGATTTCCCAAGCAATGGCCTTTTGTACAGTTTAGAAAAAAAATAAAACTAGCCAGAAGACCAGGCAGTAACTTAAGCAAGAGACAAGGGATGCCAGACACTAAACATAATTGCTAAAATATGGTGGGTAACAAGTTTAGGAGTAAAAATGACAAGACTTTGATATTACGTGGGGAGAGCTCTCTTGTATCCCTTTGAATAATCTGGGAAACTGGCACATCAGCTGGATCCATCTGATGCATTCACTAAGGTATAGAATCCTTAATGAATTATGTACATGGAAGAGAAAGGTGATGGTCATTATCATTATCTGCCCAGTGTGAGAAAAATGAAAATATACTATGCACAGATCTAGAATTCACAAGCTTATAGCTGGGAGCTGAGTCACATATTTGAAAGATACGGGTCTTTACCAAGGATGAATACCACAAGAAGAAACTGAAGTCATTATAAATTGTTTGAGGCTATAAACCTGATCTTACGTGTCAGCCTAAAAGGCCAAGTATGTTGTAAATCACCAAAAGCTTATCAGAAAATGCTTAATTCTCAAAAAAGAAAAGAAAGAAAAACACCAAACTCATACCCTGTAGTTTAGGACCTGAATTACTAAGGATAATTATGGTGACCATAACCCACAGGGGTTACAAAAAGGATTTTTCTTTAAGGGGGAAAAAAACGCAATTTTGAGAGAGAGGATGTCTTCCATATCAAGGAACTGAAAATGAGGGTTTTGTTGTTTTTTTTTTAACCTTAAAACAGGGAAATTTATACTGGAGGATACATGGTTTTTACAATCTAGAAATAATGACTGTATTTGACAGTTTGTTGACAGGCTTAACTATGTCTAGAAATAATAAATGCAGGAGATTATCTTCAGATTGGAGTAAAATAATTTGTAAATATACCTGTTCTGATTGCTTGTCTCATTATAGTTCCCCTGAATGCAGTACTAGCTTAATTATTTTTGTGTCTTGTTACCCTGAAGTATATGTCTCATATTAGGAATTTAATAAATGTTTTCAAGGAAACAAATTAATGAAGTAAAAGGAAATTAACCTCAGTGGGTAAGAA